ACCGTGGGGAGATTTTATTTTGGAAAGAAGGGACCGGATACAGCTGGAATTAGATTGTTCTGTCCATTATCTGATTAAGAGAACTGAGGGGTTCTCTTCCACGGTTAAAATGACCTGTCATGGCCTAAATAGAGTTCAGTTTGTGACAGAGTTCCTGTCCTCTCGTCAGGCCTGTCCGAGGCCTGCTTCGAGGCAGTAAATCATGTTTCTTCACTCGAGGTGACCCCTACACATGATACGTCAGCTCTTGAAATACTTGCTGGGTGTTCAATCCAAATATTTATCTTCAAAGTTTTTTTTAATCGTTTTATTTTGTTTTCCATGTTTGAAATAAATTAATAAAAAAGTTCATTTGATTCATGTCTCCCATGAATATTCAATGAATCCTTGGATAAAGTTAATGATGTCTGGAGTTATGCTTGGAGAGATAGTACCACAGAGATTTCTGCTGCCTAGACTCCACACTGCCTCTTGTGTTATTAGGCAAAGATATTAAATAACTCTACTTTTTAGATGTTTGATAAAGTTGGCAGCCTTATCATGTGTTTAAGGAGCTGCTCCCTGCTAAAAAGAACTGGAACGAGATGTGCTTTCTGAACTCCAGTCATTTTTTTTCTCATATCATGCAAGCACAGCTTTTTGGTGTCTAATGGCAATTTTTAAAAATTGTCAGTGTGCACATATTTATCATATTTACTTAGTTTGACATTAGAGTTTGCCAAAAAGGCAATGTGAAATATAGAGCAGTGCTGATGCTAAAAGACATTTTGTGCATGAATATACAACTACTTTTACACTGAGAAATAGACATGGAAATCCCTGTGGACACCAAACACCCCCAGTCCCTCCAACATAGACCCAGTAAAAATAATCAAAAAGCTAACATGGCAGCAAATCAACTAACAAAGCAACTGAAGGTGTTTACAAGGAGAGCAAGAAGAGAGACAGAGCTGTGGTGTGAAAGCCAGTAATGCACTGCAGGTGAGTGAAAACAAACTGACTGAATATTTAGAACTAGGCTGATAAGGCAATGGAGACACCTGGRTTGAATACAGAGTGGGTGTGGCAGGCTGAGTGATGGCACAAAGGAACAAAGAGAGAAACACAAGTAAACAAAATGAAACCCAAATATCACACAACTAAATGAATCATATTCTAAAACACAAAAAGCTCTAAACTAAACAAGAACCTAAAAGTGTTTCAAAACAAGAAGTTTGGGGATTTGTAAATTTATTTCATCTGCAACAGGAACCAAGTGAACAATGTTTTATTTTGAAGTGAAGTAACCATTCAGATCTTGTACCATCCATCCAAATGTGACACCAGGCAGTGTTGAAAGAAGTATTCTGAAAAGCCCYGCCCTCTTCCACCTCATGTCAGACAGACCAGTATTTTCTCAGCAAGGAATGTTGGGTAATCTTGTAGAAATGATGTGTTTACATTTTTATAACTATTAAAGAAGGTTACRAGAGTAAAAATTAGTTGTTCTGGTTACTTTTCTTGTTCAATTTGATCAAGTTGTTCAAGTTTAAGTTTATGTTATTGGCCAAAAATCAACACAATGCGTGCGAGGTATGTCCTGGTGAGTGAAGGGTGGCTCCATTATACTTTTCTATTAACTAATGAGTAGTGTTAATGCAACACTACAAAGAGTTTGATTTTAACACTGAGTGTTAAATTTACATTTTGAAATATATGGTGCATTGTTACCTTGGTGTCTGTTAACCATTTTAACACCATACAACCCCTGGCAAAAAGTATGGAATCACCAGTCTTGGATGAGCACTCATTCAGTCATTTCATTCTGTAAAACAACCTCAGATCAAAAACATGATAYAATAATAAGGTCATTCCAAAGTGCAACTTGTTGGCTTTCAGGACCACTCAAAGAAATGAAGAGAAAACATTGTGTAAGTCAGTGAATGTTACTTTTATTGACCAAGCACAGGGGAAAAATATGCAAAAAATATTTTTTTATAAAAGTTACAGCAGCTTTAAAACTGTGAAAATGTTTGTAATCAGGATACTTTAAATGTCTTCTCTAAAACACTAGTTAGTTTACCTCCTTTGATGAAAATTAAGATTTCTCTCTAATTTTTTGCTTTCACCCTTTTATTAACAGCCTGTTGCTTTTCATCAGCAACAGAACTTAGAATCACTGGAGGCCTTTTTCTGTGTTAAGTAACACTTTTCACACGTCTTTCTTTGTCCTCTTCTGTGCAGCAATCCATTTTAATTATCACTGGGAAATTAGTGACATTACAGACAAGAAGAGAGACTTGTGCATCTGTACTGTGGCTGATACTGTGTGTAAAATCAGTTTGTGTAAAAAGAGGTAAAATAGATATTACACTCATTTTAGTAAAGAAGCTTTAACATTCACTTCTGAATAAAAAAAGCTGAGTTTTCATTGTACAATGACTAAAGGTAATTCAGCTTAAAATGATTTTAAAGAACAAATCCCCACATTTCAGAAGCTGTTAGCAAAGAATTAACAGATTTAGGTTTTAAAACTAAAAAACTAATTTCCATAGACRTCTGTAGAATCTGTCCCATCAACACTTTTTCTGATATAATAAAAATAATCAAATCAAAATCCAATCCATGCTGGAGATAAATATTTGAAACATGAATAAATGTTGAAGATTTTTCTGCAGTTTGTGTTTTGGAATAAAACTGCACAGAAGTGCATCATGAACTGTGTGAGATAAAAATAAAATTCTTTGTTTTTTTTCACAGTTGCAGGATTCTGTTGAAAGGATTATAAGTTGAATGCATTCTCAGCTTGAATGTTTTTCAAGGTGTATTTAAAAGCTGTAAACTCAAAGTGAAAGAGTCTGCAGCTATGACACTAAAGAGGGGGTAATTGATTTTTTTTTTTGCATTAAAGTAAACAAACCTTCAGGCGCCTTCATCAATGTTGTAGTTGTTCAATGATGGAAAAAGTAGATRCCAGTGCAAAAATCTAAAATCTCGTTTAAATGTATTTCTCTTCCTCTACAGGTCATGGGGTACTGGTACTTTGGTTCTACCTGGTGCTCCTTCTATCTGGCTCTGGATGTTCTCTTCTGTACTTCCTCCATCGTCCACCTCTGCGCCATCAGCCTTGATCGCTACTGGTCTGTCACTAAAGCCGTCAGCTACAACCGCAAACGGACTCCTAAACGGATTAAAGTGATGATCAGCATTGTGTGGCTCATATCCATTGTGATCTCATCCCCACCGCTCCTCATGACCCAGAAAGATACCAGTTTATCAGAGGATAGGAATGAGACAAACAGGCAGGAGTGTCTGATCAACAACCAGACCTGGTACATCCTCTCATCCTGCATAGTGTCCTTTTTTGCCCCGGGAGTCATTATGATCCTTGTATATTGTAAGATCTACCGTGTTGCCAAACAGCGAGCCTCCACTGTGTTCGTGGCAAAGAACATCATGGAGCGGCAGCCGTCTCAGTCGGAGACCTGCTTCCTGGGTGCATCAGCAACCTGCCAAAGGAAGAATAAAACTCAGTACAAACTGGACAGCCCAAGGCCTGAAAACCGACACGGTTCCTGCAACGTAGACAGCAACAGCAGCGGTCAGAGACGAGGAGAGCTGGATGATATTGACCTGGAGGATCGAAGCTGCGAGGCTGATGTGAAACCGTCCTTTTCCTCATCCCTCCGATTCCCCYGCAGAGTAGGAGGCAGGGTGAAAACAGAGGAGGTTAAAGATGCTGCGGGAAGCAACAAACTGAAACCCCCTCCTCCCCTGCCTTCCTGTGCCTCCATATCCTGGGTGTCCTCTGACCAGTGTTCCCAGCACTTCCTCCTTCCGTCTCCGCTCCCTGTCCGCAGCAGGCAGATGTCTCTGTCCAAAAACAAAGTGGCTCAGATGAGGGAGAAGCGCTTCACCTTCGTCTTGGCCGTGGTGATGGGAGTGTTTGTCCTCTGCTGGTTCCCATTCTTCTTCACATACAGCCTTCATGCCATTTGCAGAGAGAACTGTATTATCCCAGAAACACTCTTCAACCTGTTTTTCTGGATCGGATACTGCAACAGCTGCCTGAACCCCATCATATACACCATCTTCAACCGAGATTTCAGGAGGGCCTTCAAGAAGATTTTGTTCCAAACCCATAAAAGGACGTAGGATGAGAATGTGAGTGTTAGGGATGTAACAGTACATGTATTTGTACCATGACGGTTCAGTACAGACAGAATGAAGTACAGGGAACTAAACAACAAATATGTTSGTCAAGCAGAGGTAATTCAAAGAAATAACTATAGTAAAAGTAAAAATACTTTAACAGAAAATGACTGGAAAATATTATTTTCACTGATAAAAAAGGTTAAATAAAAGCCATAAAAACTGCTCACAAGAATCATGAAAGTAAAAGTACTTTGACACACACTGTARGAAATGAAGTGTTGAATTTACTGAACCAAACTGGTTCCACTAAACCAAAATGAGTAAATTTACTCAACTCGGTTACTATAACTTGTTGAAGTAAGTTTAACACTACATGTTTTAGAGTGTATAAACAACTCCTTTCATGATAAGTTCAGTCATATTTGAATTTGTAAAGATTAACTAGGTGTCAAATTTTAAAGTACAGAAGTAAAATTAGCATTTATGTTTTGAATGAARCAAAATGTTAACATTACAAATCCTCAAAGAATTACTGTAACAAAGTAAATGCACTTAGTTACTGTACACCTCTGTGTRTCGGTCAGGTGATCACCACTCTCACAGCGGGCACAAATTTCCTTTTTCTTTGTAGCTGGCACAACAGAAATAAAGCACAAGAAATTTTTTTTAAAGTTGGTCCATCAAATAAATCATGTCTGATTCAGAATCAGTTTGTTTCATGAGCTGTTTGGAAAAGCTCCAAGGTCACAGGAAACACAGACAGGCTGCAGCAGAGGCAGAGGGGCGGGGCCATGTGGCAAGACATTCATCAGAGAATTCTAACTTTATGGCAAGCCATTTATGGATTTATTCAGTATCTTTGATATCAAGCATCACTTTCCCTTAAGCACTTATTTGATAGGAAGCTCACTTGAGTTTTTTTTACATTTTCTTTATTTTCACATTGGGAGATGTTATTTAATTCTGTATAATTCTAATTTGCATCAGGTCCAGGTCAAACTAATTGAAAGAAAMGTTTCTTGCTTTTTGTTTTATAATTGCAACTGCTCGATTCAAAATGAAGTTCTTAGTTTAACTTGTGGMCTGTAGGACGCTGGCCGTACTTTTATTTTGTAGTGAATTAGAATTAGATCCTTGCAAGGATGGCTTGTTTTTCTGTCTCTGCGTCTGTGAGAGTTATTGTCGATGCTAACCCCACCACCACCCTGGAAACACTAGCATTATGTTTTGTTTTTTTACTGTACGGAACCTGTACTGAACCGTCATCCTCATATCGAGGTATGCACCGAACTGTGACTTATGCAACTGTTAAACTCCGTGTGTGTGTGTGTGTGTTGTGTGTGTGCGTTAGTGCACAGYTCAAATCCTGTTTTCCACTGTGCTGTCAAACTGACATTAAAGGGCTTGTCATACAACTGGAGTATTGATTCATTATTCAAATACTCAATCATTTATTAAATAATCTCCTCCACCTGAGGAAAATAATTCTAACACTAACTCTTTCAGATGTTTCGTACCATGCTTATTAGATGTAATAGTAGTTCATTGTTGCATCTTGAATTGTGCCTGAACTGGAATGTTAATTAGGAAAAAGTAGCTGCAGGGCAGTAAACGTCCCCCCATGGAACATCTAGATGTCTTCAGCAAGCAGCCTGACTGGTTCTGCAATCCATTTATTGACAGAAAACAGGAGCAGCTACAGAAAGTTTCAATAAATTGACTGAATAAATAAGGACTAGTTTTAAAGAACAGAAGTCTAAAGTTCAAACTTTCAAATGATTTTTTGTTCAATGTTAATATTTATTTATTCATTTCATTAAAAACAAACATTTCACACAATAAAATAATACAAACAAAACAAAATGAAAGGCAGCAGCAGAAGAAAAATTTCTTATATCTGCTCCTTTTAAAAAAATGTTTCAAACAATGATAAACCAAACAACAAACAAAACAAAAAATTCAACTCCTCAAACCGTACTTACTACAAATTAAACAATTTTATATTTCTTTAACAATTTGTCTTTGCTCATTTTCTTAAAGGAATTCACGGGTCCAATGCTTTTCTGGTCATTTTCCAAATTATTCCATAGTCTTATACCTTTTACTGAAGTGCATCTGTCCTTCAAGTTTGTTCTGATTTTCGGTTTGACAAACATTTGTAATCCCTTCAAATTATAGCAGCTTTCCCTCTTAACAAAATGTGATTGCATGTTTGATGGCAACACATTTCTATGAGCCTTTTACATAACTGGCAGAATGTTATGATCAACCAACTCATGAAATTTTAACAACTTTAACTGATGACACAATATGTTAGAAGGGTGATAGTAATGCTTTCTTGTGATAATTCTTATGGCTCTTTTTTTGTAAAATAAAAATAGGATTAGTAATGGTTTTACATGCATTTCCCCAGACTTCTATACAATAAATCGAATGTGGAACAATTATTGCATTATATAGTGTAAATCGTGCTTTATCATTTAATAACTCCTTAACTTTATACAGTAATGCRATAGATTTTTTAAAGCATGCACTGTGAAAGTTACGAGTTTTTCTTGCTACAGTGTTCTGTTGACACTGCAGTGCCTGAGGGCAGAAGCGTTAAAGATTCATGTGCAGCTGGGTTTAGCTGCTGCTCAAAAATATGATGACAAAAGACAAATGGAGGAGACAAAGGCTGCCTCGACTCGAGAACCTGGATAAATATAATCAAGCCGAAACTCATTTAGTCATGAATACTTATCCTCTGAATCTCAGGATGAAACAACCAGCTCTGTGATAATAATAAAAAAAACGACTTTGCTCTTGTTTTTGTTGAGCGACATCGGAGCAACACAAAGACAAACACAAACGTTCCTTCACTCCTGAGTTAATCAATCACATTATGAAGATTGGAATTTGTGAAAACCAAGATCAGCATGTTTAAAGATGGTAACCAAGCTGGTTCTTTTTATCTTTTTCAAGCAGAAAGCTTAGGCACGGGTGTGTGCAGCTGAGGAGTGAACAAAAAAATCCAGAAATTTTTTCTGGTTGCTATGCAACACTAACTTAAAAACTTATCAGAAGCACGTAACTTAGTGTGTCGCCTATGGGAAAGGCTCACACCAACTCACACTTTCATGCAACAAACATTAAACATCATCAGAAAAGATGGGAGGGAGAGTGATCTGCATGTGAGTTYTAGCTAACAAAGGTAAAGCAGCACGCTTTGGGATAAAAACATGATATAAACACAAAACATCTACAAAAAGACAGAAGTGTATTTGCCTTGTTTTAAAGCAGGAGTCTGGAATCTGTGACCAGAACACTGGCTCCTTGTATTTTTGACCAAACATGACACAGGCTTTTATAATTAAAGCTTTGTAAAAACTAGTGACAAGAAGTTGTTCAGTTCTGTTGTTTAAAAAAATGGTCATGATTGTTTGATCAAACCTTGTTTGTCTGTTAGCAAAAAATAAAATAAAATAAATCATCAACCCCTGCATGGATTCTTGTGAATGTCTCAGAAAGGAYTGCAGCCTATGTAAACCACGGCCCACGTAGGCCACACAGTGGGCCGTAGGCCGCTCGTGTCGACGGCATGAATGGCTGTGAAATGAGACGGTCTAGTCTACAGAAGACTTGTATTTGCATGACCACGCACTGTCATGTTACCATGGTGACATGTTTCACATACATGCCTTCAGTTGTCTTTTCACTGTAAAACTCCACAAAATTCAGTTTTGTTGAAACAACATTACACATAACAAAAACAAAAACATTATTGTTTTGGGTTTAGCTTCAGTATCAGTACTTGTAATTGTATTTACTGCCTGGCAGGTCTCCACCTGGATTTAAAGAGTAACTTACCCTAAAATTAACTTTTTTTTAGCTGATAAACTGTCTAGAATGTGTCTAAAATGTTATATAGTACTGTTTCTGTGCTAATTTTGATGTTTTTGTGCGTATTTGTCCAAATCTGCAACATTTGGTCTTAAAACGTCTTTTTGCTGCTCATATGGGTAGAGCAGTGGTACTGCAGGCTAATTTRCATATTGGTTAACGGCTCTCCACTGTGACGTGGTTCTGCACAGTTTCGTCACAGCAGCTGTGTTCTGGTATAAAAGCCTCTCTCTAAGACACGCCCCTGCTGCAGTCAGAGGGTGGA